CCGGGATCCAGTTGCAGAGGGAGGTGTTTAGTCCCAGGGTCCTTAGCTTAGTGATGAGCTTTGAGGGCACTATGGTGTTGAACGCTAAGCTGTAGTCAATGAATAGCATTCTCACATAAGTGTTCCTTTTGTCCAGGTGTGAAACGGCAGTGTGGAGTGCAATAGATATTGCATCATCTGTGGATCTGTTGGGGCGGTATGCAAATTGGAGTGGGTCTAGGGTTTCTGGGATAATGGTGTTGATGTGAGCCATGACCAGTCTTTCAAAGCACTTCATGGCTACAGACGTGAGTGCTACGGGTCGGTAGTCATTTAGACAGGTTACCTTAGTATTCTTGGGCACAGGGACTATGGTGGTCTGCTTGAAACATGTTGGTATTACAGACTCAGACAGGGAGAGGTTGAAAATGTCAGTAAAGACACTTGCCAGTTGGTCAGCGCATGCTTGGAGTACACGTCCTGGTAATCCGTCTGGCCCTGCGGCCTTGTGAATGTTGACCTGTTTTAAAGGTCTTACTCACATCGGCTACGGAGAGCGTGATCACACAGTAGTCTGGAACAGCTGATGCTCTCATGCATGTTTCAGTGTTACATGCCTCATAGCACGCAATGACTACATCAAGCTTGTGACTCTAAAATTTGTTGGATGAATTTACATTTACAGATGCCAAATATCATACCCTCCCCCCTAGAAATGCTAGTCTTGTCCCATCGCTGCATGCATGCGCCCAGCCCGGCACAGGAGTCGCTAGAGCGCGATGTGACAAGGACATCCCGGCCGGCCAAACCCTCCCCTAACCCAGACGACACTGGGCCAATTGAGCGCCACCACATGGGTTTCCCGGTCACGACCAGCTGCGACACAGCCCGGGATCGAACCTGTTTTTGTAATGACACTTCAAGTGCCTTAGACCGCTGCGCCACACGGGAGGCCCTTAACCTCCACTGTTATTGTAATGGTGAGAGGTTAGCATGTCTAACTCATCATTGTTCACCATTCATTCAGGATTATCCATAATCATGGTAGCATCCACATTAATGTAGAAGTGTATAGAAACATATTCTTATTTACAATAAAAGTGACTCCAAAGTGACACAATACATTATTTACCATTCATTTCTATTTATTTTATTTATTATTATTTTATTTCACCATTATTTAACTTGGAAAGTCAAATAAGAACAAATTCTTATGTACAATGACTGCTTACCAAGAGGCAAAAGGCCTCCTGTGGGGACGGGGGCTGAGATTAGAAATAAAAATGTTGGACAAAAAACACATCACAACAAGAGAGACACCACAACACTACATAAAGAGACAACACAGCATGGCAGCAACATATGACAACACAGCATGGTAAGAGTATCCATGATTTAGTATTTGAATGTAGAGATGGAGATAAAACTGTCCAGTTTTAGTGTTTTTTTGCAGCTCATTCCAGTCGCTAGCTGCAGCAAACTGAAAAGAGGAGCGACCCAGGGATTTGTGTGCTTTGGGGACCTTTAACAGAATGTGACTGGCAGAATGGGTGTTGTATGTGGAGGATGAGGGTTGCAGTAGGTATCTCAGATAGGGGGGAGTGAGGCCTACGAGGGTTTTATAAATAAGCATCAACCAGTGGGTCTTGCATTAGGTAGACAGAGATGGCCAGTGTACAGAGCAGTATAGAGTGCAGTGATGTGTCCTGTACGGAGCATTGGTGACAAATCTGATGGCCGAAAGGTAAGAATATCTAGCCGCTCGAGGACACCCTTACCTGCCGATGTATATATTACATTCTTCTTACCGAACCACATTACCTTTGTTGGAGGTGTTCAGAACAAGGTTAAGGGCAGAGAAAGCTTGTTGGACACTAAGAAAGCTTTGTTGTAGAGCGTTTAACACAAAATCCGGTGAGGGGCCAGCTGAGTATAAGACTGTATCATCTGCAAATAAGTGGATGAGAGAGCTTCCTACTGCCTAAGCTATGTTGTTGATGTAAATTGAGAAGAGCGTGGGGCCTAGGATGGAGCCTTGGTACTCCCTTGGTGACAGGCAGTGGCTGAGACAGCAGATGTTCTGACTTTATACACTGCACTCTTTGAGAGAGGTAGTTCGCAAACCAGGCCAAAGACCCCTCAGAGACACCAATACTCCTTAGCTGACCCACAAGAATGGAATGGTCTACCGTATCAAAAGTTTTGGCTAAGTCAATAAAAATAGCAGCACAACATTGCTTAAAATCAAGGGCACTGGTGACATCATTTAGGACTTTTTAAGGTTGCAGTATTGGGCACAAAATAATCTGAAACACAACCAAAACAAACAGCAAATGCATCCAACAAATTTGTAAAGTCACAAGCTTGATGTAATCATTGCATGCTATGAATATGGCGCCAATTACTTAACCTTTTACTACTTTAATACACATATAAGTGAATTTGTCCCAATACTTTTGGTCCCCTAAAATGGGGGACTATGTACAAAAAGTAATGTAATTTCTAAACGGTTCACCTGATATGGATGAAAATACCCTCAAATTAAAGCTGACAGTCTGCACTTTCATCTAATTTCATTTAATTTCAAATCCTAAGTGCTGGAGTACAGAGCCAAATCAACAAAAAATGTTTCACTGTCCCAATACTTTTGGAGCTCACTGTAAATCATTGGTTGAGACCCTGTTGGGGCTACCCCTCAAATTCGCTACAATACTCTGTTTTATAAAATAAGAAATGTTTAGCAATTGAATCTCTATTGTTTGATCACCAACCTGTTTGACTCACCACATCTGTGAATTGGTTCCGCCTCCTAGGTGTGCTGGAAATTCACGCCTTTTGTACAGGTCTCTTGTCATGTGGTTTCTCCTGTTTAGGAGGTTTTTTCTAACCTTACCAGAAACAGGAATGCTGATGTTAATTGCGTCTTTATATTGTTTATTGTGTTGAGTATTTGCCATTGCAATGTAAAGTGTGCAATAAGTTTGCCTTTCAAGTGGATTATCACTGTTTATTCAGAATTAGCTGTTGGTAGGCGAGGTCTGAATTCTGTATGTAATTCATACATTCTCTCTCAAGATTGCCACCAATGATGAAAGGGCACTGAAGTTGATAATGCATCCTTTTCTTTATGTAAATCACATTACTAGAATATCAGGTCATAATCAACTTGCAGTCTGAACAGTTCAAGTAAACCCAATTATAATGATAACAACAGAACACTGAGCTTTGTTTGACTGGGTCTAATATTTGCCAATGCAGATGACTCCACTCCACTGGAGAGCACATATTAAAAAAAAAGTTTAAAGGTATAAACCTGAACCTGCAGGAGCGTAGGAGCGTGTATCTGAAAATCAGTAGCAGACCTGAACCACAGTAATTACAAATATTTACCAACTCATCAATAATCCATGCATTCCTAAAGGGTGCATGGAGAATCACACAGGCCACATCCCAAATTGCATCCTATTACCTAGATAGTGCACTATATAAAGAATAGGGTGCCATTTGGGATACAGTCACAGCCAGACACAGTTAGTTAATCTGTAATGCTGCGTGTGCTGAATCTTAAAGCAGCTCTGCTTTCACCTGAGCACTAGCTGGGCTTTTAATAATTAGAGCACAAAAACTGTGGCTAGCTAGTTCTCCATGGTGATTCTCATATGACAATTCCATGGGCTAAATGCAAATTGGAATAGCAGTGATGATGAGGTGGGGTTTTGCTCTTCTCCTTGAACCTTACCTCTGATCAGTGTCACAGTCATAACATTACCTATGGCTAATGGAGATCCTACAGTTCCTGGCAAACACACACACACACACTGAAAGGGAAAGGGCACTGTGGATTTCCATGAAGTGAGTTCATTAGTGTTATGAGTACCCTCGAGTGCCTTCTCTAAGGAGTGATATTTACCTGCCTATTTCTATTGTCAATTTGCTTGAGGCACTAGCACAATACCCTGAATACTTGCAAGGGGTACTGGCGCCGGAAGACCCGCCCTCCCAGGTTCCCCTTGAGCATGTGTAGGGATCAGATCAGATGTATTTTTTTTAATTTAAAGTTGTTTGATTTTGTTTTTTGGGGGGAAGTTTGTTAATTTTTTTGGTGGCGGGATGCACATTAAATTGTGTGATCGGCAATATACCATAGAAGAAGAACGGATGTAGCTATAAAAATAAAACGCTGCCGGGTGATGGTAGCTACGTTTACAAGAAAGAAACATCTTCGCAGCGGTGCATTGACACATGCCTCTGTTCAGGTTAGCTCGCAAAATAACAATTCCTGTCTATGTTTTGAAGGCCATGCTTGCGAATGTTAGCTTTGCTTTTCCTAGCTAGCGTCGTACAGCAGTAGCCATGTGCAGTAACTAGCTGGTAACGTTAGTTAGCTAACTGACAGCAGGGGGCATATTTGAGGAACTAACTAGCTAGCCAGATAACGTTAGCAAGGTGGCGCCTTTGCTTTGTTTGTGAAATTATGCGACATAGATATAGCTAGATATTGCAATGCTTTTCAAAAACTCTGAATAGTCCGGCTGTTGAATATGCGGTGTAAACTAAACCGGTACCTAGCTAGTTAACTAGCAAGCATCACCATCTATTAAATTGCACCATCCTCAGCGGTTTTACCCACTATTAGCCTGCTGCAAAAGCTAACTAGCTCCTTTTCCAGTGTTGCTGAGCTAACAATGCCCAGACAATCGCTTATGCATGGACCATATCAAGGCAAACTGACACATTTTTCAGGCTCACTCAAGACACATTTACCCAGTTTGCTTGTTAGTGAGAGGTAAAACGGCGCCGAGGGCACACAGTTGTCGCGAGACGTAGCTAGCTAGAACTAGCAGTTCATCAAGGAGCTATCCAAGGTACTGAATCGTGGCAGTCTAGATGATATGGTAATATTGATACGCTGCCAGGCTAATCTGGCAATTTAGTGAAACTAGGCCTATTTTATCAGAAAGCTCATGAATTCACAATCATCATGCCCTTGGATCTGTGAACATGCTCCCTCTTCGCTCTGTTTTGCAGGTGTCCATCCAGAGAGTGCGTGTTGAACAGTAAGATGTCCATGGTCCTGTTTGCCTCGGTGTTGCGGGTTGGGGATGGTCTACCCCTGTCTGCCTCCACAGACTATGAGCAGGACAAAGGCCTACAGGAAACCAAAAAGCATGTCAAAGCTCTGTCCAAGAAACTCGGCCAGTTCCCAGACCGCTGTGCTCTGAAGACTGGACAGTACAATATCAAGTAAGTCTGGCTTTACTGTGAATCATAAAGTGGTATTATCCAACATTTTATATAAACTCTTGTTGTAGACTTTGATATTACCACCACCCAAAGTTGCTAGCAGTTCTCTATACCGGCGAGACAGCATCCGAAGCCGCGTCCTCAGAACATGTGCAGACCAGCTGGCTGGAGTGTTTATGGACATATTCAATCTCTATCCCAGGCTGTTGTCCCCACTTGCTTCAAGATGTCCACCATTGTTCCTGTGCCCAAGAAAGCGAAGGTAACTGAACTAAATGACTGTCACCCTGTAGCACTCACTTCTGTCAGCATTAAGTGCTTTGAGAGTTAAGGAACATATGACCTCCACCTTACCCGACACCCTAGATCCTCTACAATTTGCATACTGCCCCAACAGATCCACGGATGACGCCATCGCACTGCCCTATCCCATCTGGACATAAGAAATATCTATGTAATAATGCTGTTCATCGACTACAGCTCAGCCTTCAACACCATAGTGCCCTCCAAGCTCATCACTATGTTCGGGCCCTGGGTCTGAACCCATCCCTGTGCAAATGGGTCCTGGATTCCTAACGGGCCCACCCCAGGTGGTGAAGGTAGGCAACAACACCTCCACTATGCTGATCCTCAACACGGGGGCCCCACAAGGGTGCGTGCTCAGCCCCCTCCTGTACTCCCTGTTCACCCATGACTGGGAGGCCACGCATGTCTCCAACTCAATCATCAAGTTTGAAGACGACACAACATTAGTAGGCCTTATTACCAACAACGACGAGACAGCCTACAGGGAGGAGGTGAGGGCCCTGGTGGAGTGGTGCCAGGAATAAACCCATCTCCCTCAATGTCAACAATATGAAGGAACTGATCGTGGACTTCAGGAGACAGCAGAGAGAGCACTCCCCCATCCACATCGACGGGGCCACAGTGGAGAAGTTCCTCGACGTGCACATCACTGACAACCTGAAATGATCCATCAACACAGTGTGAAGAAGGCGCAACAGTGCTTCTTCAACCTCAGGAGGCTGAAGAAATTTGGCTTGGCCCATAAAACCCTCACAAACGTCTTCAGATGCACCATTGAGAGCATCCTGTCAGGCTGTATCACCGCCTTATATGGCAATTGCACCATCCACAACCGCAGGGCTCTCCAGACGGTGGTGCGGTCAGCCCAACGCTTCACCGGGGGCACACTGCCTGCCCTCCAGGACATCTACAGCACCCGGTGTCACAGGAAGGCCAAAAAGATAATTAAGGACCTCAGCCACCCGAGCCATGGCCTGTTCATCCCGCTTCCATCTAGAAGGCAGAGCCCGTACAGGTTCATTAAAGCTGGGACCGAGAGACTGAAAAACAGTTTCTGTCTCCAGGCCATCAGACTGTTAAATAGTCACCACTAGCCGGCCTCCGCCCAGTACTCTGCCCTGAACTTAGCCACTGTTACTTGCCGGCTACCACCCGGTACTCTACCCTGCACCTTAGAGACTGCTGCCTTATGTACATACATAGTCATTGAACACTGGTCACTTTAATAATGTTTACATACGGTTTTACCCAATTCATATGTATATTCTGTATTGTAGTCCAGGCTTATCCTATATAACTACTGCTGTACACACCTTTTCATATACTGTCCATAATGTCTATACACACCATCATATATTTATATGTTCTGATATTTCTTAATTCCTTTCTTTGAATTTTTGGGATTTGTGTGTATTGTTAGGTATTATTGCACTGTTGGAGCTATAAAACATAATCATTTCGCTGCACCTGCGATAACATCTACAAAATATGTGTACGCGACCAATAACATTTGATAGTTTAATTTTGCTTTGAATATCGGTGTTATCACTCTGTCCTCATTTTATAAAATGCTTAGAGGCCATCTGTTTACATGGAAATGGGTTATTAGCTAATTGGTCCCATTAAGACAGATATAGGTTTGAATAAAAGGAGCGCACACATGCACATCCCTCTCTCCAGCAGCAAGGTTGGTTGGCCATCCACTCTACAGTCTGAAGCCTCATTTGATTTTTCAAGGCCCAACATTGGCCTTGACACTGTGAAGGAAGGTGACGGCGGACGTGCCAGGCAGCATTTAAATCACTGGTTGATTTAAAGATCCTTTTGGGCAATGCCTAACTCGGATGTATTGGACTTTTTTGAGGGGTTCTGCTCTGAGTGGGTGGGGCTGTGATTTTAGTCAGTCCCTGCCTGTCACTCTCCAAATGACTGTTATTCATCATAAGCAAAGGGGGGAAAAAGAGCGTGAGCTCGCTATCCCCACTTCCCCTTCTCCTTTTAATGCCTGTTTGGTGTGAGTCGTGTTCTTTCTGTGAAGAAATTCACAGTGGTAAACATACTGGCATCACTCTGCTCTACAATGCAGCCACACAACTAACAAGCCTTCAAGCCACCTGATGTTGAATAGATTTTCTGTAATTTTATTGATAGATTGGTTGAAAACACCATTCTTTGTTGTGTTAGGCTATATCTTAGAGATGGTCATTTTCCACACCGATAGGATGATGCCAGTGTTTGTTACAGATAGGTCTATCTCATGACAATGCAGCTAGGCTACATTCATTGAATTTTGTCTTGAAGAACATCACATGCAGGGACATTTCTTAGTTCTGGATTTGTGTACTTAGATACTGTACTTCCCACTGTTCAGCACTGTAATTGCAGTAGATGATAGTCATCCAAGGTAATCTTGGTGTGTGTTAGTTTCACCAGCTCTCTGGGACTGGGATATCTGATGGTGTGTACAGAGAACTACCCCAATGTCCTGGCCTTCTGTTTCCTGGATGAGCTGCAGAGAGAGTTCATCATCACATACGACAACAAACGTGTCAACAGCGCTGTGAGGCCATACTCCTTCATAGAGTTTGGTGAGTCTCTCCTCTGTTTTCCCTAGCCTGGTCCCATGTCTGTGGTCCTGTAACCAACTCCTATGGTCGGTATGACATGACAAATGGCCATACATTGGCAAGACCGCAGGATCTGTGACCAAGCTATGTTTTCCCTACAAATGCACATTTTGCCTTACTGTCAAATCAAACATAGGGTTTCCCTGTTTTGAAGCAACACTTTCAAATTGAAACCCTGTTTTACCTATATAATTACTATTATCATACTAATCATTCTATTTTTATGGTTGTACCATTTTCGAAATTCTTTTGATAGAGCAAGTATAGACTGTACCAGCAGATGCTGCTATGACATACCTTTCCAGCGTAGGTTGTATTTTCATGATAAATATGTCCAACCATTCTCAAACCGTTGTTGTGTTACTGCCACTTCCAGACAACTTCCTCCAGAAGACGAAGCAGCGCTACAATAGCCCCCGCTCTCTGTCCACTAAGATCAACCTGGCTAACATGCAGACAGAGCTCAAGCTGCGACCGACATACCAGCTGTCCCCTGAGGACCTAGGATCCATCAACAACTTCTCATACCGCACGGCCTCCAAGTACAAGGGCATAGGTAGGTTCCACACATGCACGCACCAGGGTTTCCCTTAGCCGGTAATAGCCGGCTTTTGTCCGCTAATAAAATTGAAAAGCTTATGAATAAAATTGGTGCCGGCCGATTGTCCAGGAGAATAAAAATTCCCATTGTGAAATAATACTTTTTAGCCTATTCAATTATGGAAATACCAGTCGCTGTGAATACATTTGACTGGTCATGCTTATCGTTCTATAGGTTAATTTGCATAATTAGTTGAATTAAATTGGCACGTGTGTACAGTATATTCGTTATGTATCTTATTTATCACACGCATACAGATACAGAGCCTTTGCGTGAAAAATCTGTCAGACAGCGCAAGAGCTTCTGCTGCAGAAGTATGTGGAAAAATACTAAGTCAAATCATGAAGTCAGTGATCTTCAGGTCGGAAAGTCGGAGTTCTAGAAAGAGGCCCGAGATTCCGAGTTGGATGACCGTTTAAATAGATTTTTTTTATTTTTTTTGACTTGAATGCTCGGAAGTCGGAGATTTCCGAGTTCACAGTTTTGAACGCGGCATCAAACGGCAACGGAAGGCAGGCTTAATCAGCATGTCACACACCACTTTGCAATGAGCTGGAGGCAGTATGCATTTTGAAGACATATACTTAGTTGTTTGAAACCTGAACATTTTAATACATATTATGAGGCATGTCTTACCTTGCTTCAAAGTATGAAAATGTATGCACTCACTAACTGTAAGTCGCTCTGGATAAGAGCGTCTCCTAAATGACTAAAATGTAAAATGTAAGTAGCCTATCAGATCTCTTCTCTTCCTACATTTATAACGGATATTTTCATCTGTCATATGAAACTGCTCGCATGTGCTGTGCCATTTTGACAACGGTGTTTTCACGCTAATTACATTATGGAAAGAACATTTGTACATAGCCTAATGCCTTGTGCACATTGCTGTGTTTATAATGTGAAGAAATAAAAGTTCATCAACATTTTTAAGCTAAACGTTCTGATCTATTGCATCAGACTCACTGTTTTTTAATGTTTATTTTTATGTAGCCTAGGCCAACTTGTTGTGTACTGTCCCAGAGTGTTTGGAATAGGCTATTTCTTTCTCGACAAGCTAAGCAATAGAATAGGTAGCCTAGACTTTTCTACTATAGTAGATTGACATACTGTAGACTAGAGATTTTTGTTGGCTGAGACCTTTTTCAATCAAAGCGCCTAGCTGCCTTTGATGCTTTTAGGCACTGTAAAAAATGACTCTTCACGTAAGCTTTAACATAACCACTTAACTGTGTACTGATTGACAAATGGATTTCATTTGCATTCCATCCTCCTCATTCTAATCCTCCCTTTTCCCATTTACTGTAGGTAACTCCCATTGTCATGTTAGCACGTTTAAAATGGCTTCCATCCATTCCATACCTCATGGACAGCTTGGTTGGGAACATATTGGAACAGAGCCAAAGTTAATCACATGACAGCCCTATAGGGGCAGCTCTCTGAAGGACACCTTACCCTGCAGCTGTCGTGTGTGTGTGTGTGTGTGTGTGTGTGTGTGTGTGTGTGTGTGTGTCTGGCCCGGCCCCTCCATTAGTGATCCCTGACTGAGACGGGCCTCCACAGAGCCCCTTGCCTGCCACTCCTGACGCTCTGGATCAGTAACCCCTCTGTTGACACCTTCACACCTCTGTAACCCCAGCTAAGTGATTCTGTCCTGGGTCACCACAGCTCCTCTGTCTCCCTCAAGAACCACTGCTTTCCTATCACTCACTGTGGATAGGGGAAGAGTAGGAAGAATGATCATCACAACATTGTCATAGCGCTATAGTTAAGATTTCCACATTTTGGGTTTGAATCAGTGGTTTCTTTTCAGATTTGGGGAGAATTCTAAGATTGCACATTCAACTGGAGGCCCGCGGGCCAGATCCCACCCTTTTATCAATTTAGCCTTGCCCCTTGTTACAGGCTGGCTGATACCTTGTCATCTAAAATGCTTAAAAGAGGAACTGCGATATAAATAGTTATAAAAGCATTTCATTTATTTAAAAATCAGCAGACTTCCAAAGTAAACGCACATGGCTGATGGCTAAAACAAATGGCTCTTCCACACAGTCAGGAAACATACCTTTTCAAGAAAACACAGGCCCCGATTACACATTGCAGGCACCTGTGCCGATTTGCCACTCCCACCAATTAGGCAATACAGTGAGCGATGCGCTACAACCGGACATGTTTGGAGATGATAGAAAGCGCAGGTTATGGATTAAATGAATGCTGAATTGATACAGAAAATAAGTAACATTGCATCACAATGAATACTTTGAACGAAATATTTAAAAATATTAATTTAGTCCATAGTGAACATGCATTTCGGGGGGGGGGGGGGGAATCTGACATTTATTGTCAAAATGACAAGTGCTACTAGGCCTAATAGTGTGGTCTCTAGTGCTAATTTGGCGTGTTTTTTATTTATTAATTTTTCTTCCTATGAATTTGGCTCTAGCCTTTGAATGGTTTGGGCTATAACCCCATGCATGAAAACTAAGACTCTCAGGAACACATACGTGTCTTCTGTTTCTCTCTGATGCAACATGTTAGAACCTAATGACTGGGGAAAATGAATTCAAAGCATACTTCCTTCAGACTGGAATTAGGCTACTTGATTGCCATATTTGTGTTATAACTTTTATTGAGATAATGGCAATAAGTCCAGATTCAAATTTCCTTAAATAATTTGTACACACATTTGTTTCTTAAAACAGAGAATCAAATAAATAGCTTGCTGGTCCATGTTATCTCTATCTCTGTTAGGGGAGTAAAGAGGAAACATGTTTTCAGAGGATTTTAAAACTACCTGATTACTTTAATCAACATTTAAGTGCTTTGTATGGTATATGTGTGTTGTTTTTGATAGTTCTTCTGAAGAGGATCACATTCAGCAACCCTGGCATCCAGTAGACCCATTGGATAACATGTCCTAATCATCTAAGACCGAAACCCATGTTCAGACTCCTGATAATTACCCCAAACACATTCATATGATTGTTATTATTAGCCAATTAACTAATAATTTAGCTGTAGTGGCACCGCCCATTAATCCTATTGGTCTGCATCACTTGGAGGCCATTCTAGAGTGAGCTCAGCGTCCCACAATCCTGAGCTGTGGTGGGGAAGCAACGTGATGAAGATGACAGGGGCAGAGATGCCTCTTTTCCTTAGACATTGTAGTTTCTAGTTTTGCTGTTGGTGTAAATATCTTTCTGGGGTTTTGTCAGATGTTGTTTTTGTTGGTGTCTGGCCCCTCAGCAATTAACTTTTGGAAAATGTGGCCCCCATAAGAATATAGTTGAATAGCCCTGGTGTAGTGCTTTACCATTTATTTTTCACCTATTCTCAGAACCCATAAACTAATCCTGCTCTATGTAGCTATTTTTCAAATTTATATTAATTTAGTCACAAGACTACTTTACACCAAACCCTAAGTCAGTGAAGTCTCTGGCAGGGAGTGTGTATTGTGATCCTTCAGGACAGAATGTGGCGGTTTTATTTCAATCAGTAGAGCTTCTTAATGTGTCTATGGCTCATTGGCCAGCAGGTCATTACTGCTGATTCTGAACAGTTCCCTTCCTCTCCTCCCAGCTCCCAGCCAGCAGCTTGAGCCTGTGTGTCTACCTGGCGTTGTCTCCTGTGTGCTAAGCATCCTCTGTGGAGGCCTCAATCTACTCCGAGGGGTTCATGCCATAGAGAGCGTTATGCAGGTACAGTAAGACCATAGAGATGCATTGCATTATTCTATTTCATTCTATGGGTATGACAAAAGTGAACACCTGTAGCTATAATATGTCAAACCAAGCCTTTTCATAGGAATCATTTAAACACCTCTTAGTTGGAGATACGCTTATTGCATTTCAGGGGCTATTTTTGTCCAGTGCTTTTGTTAGCTGGTTTCTTGTTGTTTCACCAAGCCTTTTTGAAAGCCTACCTGCTGCTAAACATTCAGTGGCTATACTTTAATTGACCTCAATCTATTCTTCTCCCTTCCTTCTCTACCTCCTTACCTTCCTGTGCATCCGCAGAATGACGACCACGAAGACTTTAATTACGTGATTGCCTTTTTCCTGGGCACAGCAGCCTGTTTGTATCAGGTAAGTGATAGTTAGTAAGAGCTGCCCGGCTGACACTGTGCTGACTGACTAACAACCCTGCACTTTACATCACAGCATGATTTACATCACAGCTCTCATTGTACAGAGGGGGGTGTTAGTTTGACCAAGATACTTTTGTGTATATATACTGTATGTGGACATCGCTTCAAATTAGTGGATTTGGCTATTGGTCGTGTAGTCTAGCTACAGTTTTCACATAATTGTGCTCTGTAAGTGTCCTTGGGTACACTGAAAAGTGCAAAAAATATGTTTTTGATGCAGTCTATGGCTTTTTTTAGATTGCTGATTGACGCTTGCACTAAATAATTGGGGTGTTCTTCATTTAAAATCATTGATCGTTACTCTCTTGGTCAAATAATTGGACATGGTTTGAAAGCAAAGAAAGATTGGTGTCCTGCAAGGGATCTTCATTTCCAATACAATGCAGGAGCTCTATTGTTCTCACAGAAGTTGATCTCTCTCTCTCTCTTTCTCGCTCTCGCTCTCTCTCTCCTCAGTGTTACCTGTTTGCGTACTTCTCTGTGTGGAGGAACAGTAAGTCGTTCCTGGCCTTCGCCCTGATCTGTCTGTCCAACATGTACCTGTATGAACTGAGGAACGTGTGGCAGATCCTCTTCCATGTGACTGTAGGGGCCTTCACGACACTACAGATCAGACTGAGGCAGCCGCAGGGCAAAGCTCCGGACTACAACGTCTGACAACCATGAGACTTACAACCAAACAAGAAAAAAAACACACTACAATGTCGGACAAAAAGACTAAAACAAACCAACAACAAAAAAAAGTTTGTCTGAGAAAACCCCAGAAAGATACTTCCTTACAACCAACCAACCACCAACAGCAAAACTAGAAACTACAACATCTAAGGAAAAGAGGCATCTCTGCCCCTGTCATCTTCATCACGTTGCTTCCCCACCACAGCTCAGGATTGTGGGACGCTGAGCTCACTCTAGAATGGCCTCCAAGTGATGCGGACCAATAGGATTAATGGGCGGTGCCACTACAGCTAAATTATTAGTTAATTGGCTAATAATAACAATCATATGAATGTGTTAGGGGTAATTATCAGGAGTCTGAACAGGGGTTTCGGTCTTAGATGATTAGGACATGTTATCCAATGGGTCTACTGGATGCCAGGGTTGCTGAATGTGGTCCTCTTTTTGCCATGTGTACTGCATATCCAGTGAGGTTAGGTCAGTACTCAACTGTCATTCTCTGAATCCCTGGCATCACAGACATCTCACATGTTTAGAGCATTTTTGTAGTTAGGCTATTTATTTATTTTCATCCTTCTTCATTGACATGGCTAGTAAATATTTGTTTATTGATTATGAAGATACTTTTGAATAAATTATGTGCATGATTATGGTCCACTTCTATTTTGGCCAGTGATTTTAATCCATACAATACATTTTACATTTACATTTTAGTCATTTAGCAGACGCTCTTATCCAGAGCGACTTACAGTTAGTGAGCGCATACATTTTCAAACTGGCCCCCCGTGGGAAACGAACCCACAACCCTGGCGTTGCAAGCGCCATGCTCTACCAACTGAGCTACAGGGGACTTTATGCATATTCTCACTAAGCCTGTAACATCCATGTTCTACTTTGTTGCAGGTGCAGGCATCAGTCATATGCTATTACTTGATAGCAGAGTTGGGCATGGCATATGTTTAAACAAATGATATGTAATGTGGTGGCGTTATCCCACTGTTGTCAGCACTGGGAGGACAACCTTGTCAACTCTGTATCATCTGACAGACAGGGGAGGTAACAGCAGCTGCTGCTGGAGAAGATTGAATTGACCTGTGAGCCCTCACCATCCAAATATTTCAGGGTATTAGTTGATTTAATGATGAGTTAAGGAGTGTTCTGGTTTTTATTTTGGGTGTATCGATGGCCAGTGTCAGTCACACCAGAGATGATCACTGCATGAGGGGAGGGAGAGTACAAACATGGAACCAAGTATTAAAAACATCTGGCAACTAACTACATGTATATCTGGGGACTATTGCACTGATTCAACCCTTAAAGGTCCAATGCAGCTGTTTTTATCTCGATATCTAACTGTAAATCGCTCTGGATAAGAGCGTCTGCTAAATGACTAAAATGTAAATGTAATGTCAAATCATTTCTGAGTAACACTTAAGTAACTTACTGTGATTGTTTTCAATTAATATGGTCAAAAATAGCTTCTTAGCAAAGAGCAATTTCTCAATCAATAATTTTGCTAGGACTGTCGGAGTGGTCTGAGTGGAAAACTGAAAACTAGCTGTTATTGGCAGAGAGGTTTGGAAGTCTTTCTTATTGGTCTATTAACAAATGTACCGCTTGGTGATGTCACCAGGCAGGTCAAAACTCCATCCCACGAAAACGATCTGAAGTTTCAATCCGCTCTTACACTAAAACGGTATCATTTAAACAATTTCACAGTATTATTCCAACCTCATCGTGTGGAAAAATATACAGTGCATTCAGAAAGTATTCAGACCCCTTAACCTTTTTCCACATTTTGTTATGTTACAACCTTATTCTAAAATGGATTAATTAAAAATCCTCATCAATCTACACAGAAAACCCCATAATGACAAAGTGAAAACAAGTATTCAGACCTTTTGATATGAGACTTCAAATTGAGCTCCTTGAGATGTTTCTACAACTTGATTGGAGTCCACCTGTGGTAAATTAAATTGATTGGACATTATTTGGAAAGGTACACACCTGTCTATATAAGGTCCCATAGTTGACAGTGCATGTCAGAGCAAAAACCAAGCCTTGAGGTCTAAGGAATTGTCCGTAGAACTCAGAGACAGGACTGTGTCGAGGCACAGATCTGGGGAAGGGTACCAAAACATTTCTGCAGCATTGAAGGTCCCCAAGAACACAGTGGCCTCCATCAGTCTTAAATGGGAGAAGTTTGGAACCACCAAGACTCTTCCTAGAGCTGGCCGCCCGGCCAAACTGAGCAATCGGGGGAGAAGAGCCTTGGTCAGGGAGGTGACCAAGAACACGATGGTCACTCTGACAGAGCTCCAGAGTTCCTCTGTGGAGATGGGAGAACCTTCCAGAAGGACAACCATCTCTGCAGCACTCCACCAATCAGGCCTTTATGGTAGAGTGGCCAGACGGAAGCCACTGCTCAGTAAAACGCACATGACAGCCCGCTTTGAGCACCTAAAGATTCTCTGGTCTGATGAAACCAAGATTGAACTCTTTGGCCTGAATGCCAACCTTCACGTCTGGATGAAACCTGGCACCATCCCTACGGTGAATCATGGTGGTGGCAGCATCATGCTGTGGGGATGTTTTTCAGCGGCAGGGACTGGGAGACTAGTCGGGATCGAGGGAAAGATGAACGGAGCAAAGTACAGAGAGATCCTTGAAGAAAATCTGCTCCAGAACGCTCAGGACCTCAGACTGGGGCGAAGGTTCACCTTCCAACAGGACAACGACCCTAAGCACATAGCCAAGACAATGCAGGAGTGGCTTCAGGACAAGTCTCTGAATGTCCCTGAGTGGCTTCAACCTGATCAAAAATCTCTGGAGAGACCTGAAAATAGCTGTACAGCGACGCTCTCCATCCAACCTGACAGAGCTTGAGAGGTTCTGTAGAGAAGAATGGGAGAAACTAACAAAACTAAATTTGGAAAAAGTCAAGGGGTATGAAAACTTTCTGAATGCACTATATATATATATACTGCTCAAAAAAATAAAGGGAACACTAAAATAACACATCCTAGATCTGAATGAATGAAATAATCTTATTAAATACTTTTTTCTTTACATAGTTGAATGTGCTGACAACAAAATCACACAAATTATCAATGGAAATCAAATGTATCAACCCATGGAGGTCTGGATTTGGAGTCACCCTCAAAATGAAAGTGGAAAACCACACTACAGGCTGATCCAACTTGGATGTAATGTCCTTAAAACAAGTCAAAATGAGGCTCAGTGGTGTGTGTGGCCTCCACGTGCCTGTATGACCTCCCTACAACGCCTGGGCATGCTCCTGATGAGGTGGCGGATGGTCTCCTGAGGGATCTCCTCCCAGACCTGGACTAAAGCATCCGCCAACTCCTGGACAGTCTGTGGTGCAACGTGGCGTTGGTGGATGGAGCGAGACATGATGTCCCAGATGTGCTCAATTGGATTCAGGTCTGGGGAACGGGCGGGCCAGTCCATAGCATCAATGCCTTCCTCTTGCAGGAACTGCTGACACACTCCAGCCACATGAGGTCTAACATTGTCTTGCATTAGGAGGAACCCAGGGCCAACCGCACCAGCATATGGTCTCACAAGGGGTCTGAGGATCTCATCTTGGTACCTAATGGCAGTCGGGCTACCTCTGGCGAGCACATGGAGGGCTGTGCGGCCCCCCAAAGAAATTCCACCCCACACCATGACTGACCCACCGCCAAACCGGTCATGCTGGAGGATGTTGCAGGCAGCAGAACGTTCTCCACGGCGTCTCCAGACTCTGTCACGTCTGTCACACGTGCTCAGTGTGAACCTGCTTTCATCTGTGAAGAGCACAGGGCACCAGTGGCGAATTTGCCAATCTTGGTGTTCTCTGGCAAATGCCAAACGTCCTGCACGGTGGTGGGCTGTAAGCACAACCCCCACCTGTGGACGTCGGGCCCTCATACCACCCTCATGGAGTCTGTTTCTGACCGTTTGAGCAGACACATGCACATTTGTGGCCTGCTGGAGGTCATTTTGCAGGGCTCTGGCAGTGCTCCTCCTGCTCCTCCTTGCACAAAGGCGGAGGTAGTGGTCCTGCTGCTGGGTTGTTGCCCTCCTACGGCCTCCTCCACGTTTCCATGCTGTGGACACTACGCTGACAGACACAGCAAACCTTCTTGCCACTGCTCGCATTGATGTGCCATCCTGGATGAGCTGCACTACCTGAGCCGCTTGTGTGGGTTGTAGACTCCGTCTCATGCTACCACTAGAGTGAAAGCACCGCCAGCATTCAAAAGTGACCAAAACATCAGCCAGGAAGCATAGGAACTGAGAAGTGGTCTGTGGTCACCACCTGCAAAACCAGTCCTTTATTGGGGGTGTCTTGCTAATTGCCTATAATTTCCACCTGTTGTCTATTCCATTTGCACAACAGCATGTGAAATGTATTGTCAATCAGTGTTGCTTCCTAAGTGGACAGTTTGATTTCACAGAAGTGTGATTGACTTGGAGTTACATTGTGTTGTTTAAGTGTTCCCTTTATTTTTTTGAGCAGTGTATATATATATACTGGAAAATCACATTTTGGACTGCACTGGACCTTTAAGATTTGTCACCGACAATGGCCAAAACTTATTAGCAATCTTAGCAGACTTAGCAATGTTAGCCTCCAGTATGAAATGGGTCATAACTTTTGATGTTGGCCATTTGGACTGACATACTATTGCAATTAAGAAGATTGAAATTTTACTTAGATGACTTTTCTGATGTGCATAATCAAGAATTTTACTTAAAATCTATTACAAGTTTAATATGAATTACCCCCTTTATTCCTTTTTGAGAACAAGCGCTTCTGATTTAGAAAGATCAGACCCAGATTTCTGGCTGCAACACCTATTTAGTTTCAAAAGCAGAGTTTCAGGCACGAAGCAGTGAAAGGTAGGTGCTCTGGGAGACATTATGGTGATTACCTTGATGATTATTAGTGTGTGCAATATTAGATG